ACAGTTACCAAAGAAAAAAAGTAACGCAGTTACTAGTAAAGTTACCAAAAAAGTAACTTGTAACTGTAACTTCGTTACAAGTAACGAGTTACTTCCATTCCCTGCATTTAGCATTTACAAATTTTGACCTAGAGCAAAAAAAATTTGTTTTTAATGTACAATACCTAAAGAAGTACGGAGGGGTTTGTAAAAATATTGATATTTTCAAGAATGACGGGTATTTGAAGTCACACTTGCATTTTTTGCTAAAAATTTTGTTCAAAAACTGTTCATAAAATAAAAAGTTGTTTATATATCGAAAAACAACCCCTACGTACTTCTCTGCGAAATGCATCTAAGAAGTTGCAGTTAAAATTTGAACCCATTCGAATAGAAATTATTAAAGTTATTTGTCATGCCGATTTGAAAAATGTCGTTTAGAGAAAAACGCGTTTAAAGTTCAAGCGCTCAGCTTGCGCTCATTTTTTTCGTTATAAATTCAATTGCTACTTATTTTTGTGATAATAAAGTATCGAAAAGGCAAAAAAAATTTTCGATTTTTTGAAAATTCTAGGGTGGCCATACCCCTTAATCGAAAACAAGGATATAAAATAATTGGCTACCTTCGACAGTTCTAGCAGGATACCGTCGGCGATATCTAGTGTTAATCAGTTGATAAAGCGGATTGTCCGAGCAAAAACAGATCGCGTTCTTTGGTAGTTATTACGGGGGTATTATAACAACAGCGCTAATAGTCTACTAATACCAAACGGGATAAAAGGGATAGAGAGAAGTAGTGCCGGGGTACGCTTGGATTCTGGTGTGTGCTTAGCAGGACATCACGAGCACGTCCGCGCCGATGATCGAGGGTCCTGAGCCCGCGGAGACGGATTACGAGGAACCGGAGGACGAGTACGACGACTATACGGACCCGAACGGGAACCTAGCCGAGCAATAATGCTCGTTTTTGTGCGCTGCCCTAATAACTACTGACTACTACCACCAATACCGACACCATCATCATCACTACCACCACAACCACCACCACTGCCACCCTCATCACTCGTCTCACCCCGTTCTCCCAAACTAACGTGATCCTGGTAATTGCGAATCCCATAATAGTACTAACGCAATGCGATGTTCGTCGACAGCTTGGTTTCGCAATGAGATCCTATCTGTACTTGCTGCTTCCTAATGCGATATCTATTGGTTGCAATATCGAAGACAAAACGCTGCTTTATGTGTGTTCGAAGCCTAGCGGAATCCGCCATGCGAGTAGAATTGTCAAAATCTATTGTAGATTTATCCCTTTTATGTATATGTAAACTGCTTGCACATTTTCTAATCCATTAATGTGTTCATGAGCGCTTACGTTTTTATTGAGAATTAAACGAATCTCTAATTTTTATTAATTATTAGAAATGCATAAACAATTACACGCAAATTTTTCTTTCCTATTTCTTTGCAACTCATTAATACAATGAGAAAAATTTAAGAAGACTTCTATTAGATATAAAAAAAGATTAAATGCAAATATTAACCCTTAATACACACAATGATAGTTTTCTGGTCCTTTATTACAAACATTCATTTGTAGGGATTATTTTCACCACTTTTGCAAGTATACAAAAATCACACATATATATATATATATATATATACACATTAAGTGATAAATTTTAACGTCTTTAGAAAGTATTTGTATTTGTGTATTTTAAAAAATTGTATATAAATATTGTAACTAATAACTTGATACTAGTATTTCGAAAAAAAGAAATGTGATAAGACGAATGAGACCCAGTCGTGTGTAATTAACATAATAAAAGTTAAAGCACCCAATATCCAAGATAAATGTCTCTTTTAAATTTATTTCTTATCTATTTGCACGTAAATATAATCATCTGCTCTTGTTTCTCTCATCCATCGATCTATACATCCCAAAATTAAGCTGACAAACTCTCGAAAAGATTTCTAGAAATCTAGTGCAGCTTCTGTCTTGTGCCCAATGGATGCGTCGAGACGATTCCATCGGGAATAAATGATCTCGAGCTTGCTTATGCGAAGAACATCAATTCTATTTAAAGATAAATGGTCGGTGACACCTATCCCTTTTGTTTTGCAGCCAAGGAGCAACATCCTGCGCCAATGGCTACAGGAGGAGGAGGAGGATGGGGAGGAGAAAGAGAACGAGCGGCAGTGATGTTGCAAGGACAATAGCGCATTTTTTTCATAAGGACTTCTGTATATCCTTCCGTTCCCGCCTCCGTCTCGTTACGACCGCGTTATGAAAGAAAAAAAAAATATATATATATACATATTATATATACGCCAAAATAATCATCTTGCCATCGAGAGTGTTGTAAATATGTGTACTTACAGTGTCTAGCGTCCGCAGTGCGTGTACATAAGTAATTAGAGCTTACTGCGAATCTACGGTCGTATCGCGACAACGACAATAGTCGTATCGTCAGCTGATACGGTTTGCCCGTAAACGTCACACACATAACATATGCACACATACAAAGGTATACGGTGATGGATCCGCGGATCGATACCTCCAGTTCCGTATGCGAGGAAGGACAGAGAGAAGTCTTCCGGGTGAATTCACGATGATCTTCGCGTGGAAGAACGTCGCGGCAGGATTGACGGAAACATTTTGGAGCAAACGAACGAGGAATAATCCAGGAAGAATCGCAGTGAAGTGCGCGAAGGACGCATCTTGCGGATGGTACGGGATGGGGAAGAAGATTCGCCTACCGTGCAACTCGAACGCTCTCCGTGCGAATCTTGCGGCGACGAGGACATACTTTGCGAATTTGAACGCAGCTACGATGAGACACGAGCGAGAAGTGGGAAAGGTCGCAACGTACCGATGGATTAGCTCTTAGCCGCAGCCTGAAACGCATTTCGAATTTATTCCCTTTTTTTGTCTTGTATTTCGCTTGAGAACTCTCGCCCAAAGTGCGAGATTGTATTCACACAGATATCCTCAAAGTTTCTTTAAGTACAGCTACACTGAAAGAATTTCACTAAATCTTAATACATATTTCTTTGACTAGTACTAAGTAAATATTTACTTACAGTAAATATTCATCCAAAAAATAATAGTTTAAAAATTAAACTAATGTATCAAATTTTTGTATTAAATAAGTATATGTTTACGTTTAGTAAATATTTATTTAAGACTATTCAAGCAAATATTTATTAAAATTAGTATTTTTTTCAGTGTGAGAAAACTATATATGAAAAAACCTGAGTTCTAAAGCGTCCTATTTGAAGTACAGAATAGTGAACCTTCGCCTTATGGCGATTGATAGAAAAAGGTTCAAAATTTTCGTTACCTACAATTCAGAATCTCAATACTAATTGTACAGATTGTATCAACCATTAAAAATTGTCGCTTCGGGTTCAAATGACTTATTGCTATAGTCGAGGGTTAAAAAATTACACTTCATGGCATGCGATTCAGGTTACCTTTCAGCTAATCCCGCGGGAGAGACGTACGCCGATCCATGATGTAAGAATACAAGGTTTTATTGTACATAATGGCGAATTTCTTATTGGTGGTAAATTTCTAATAGGCTTTATATTGGCTTATAACATTATTGGGATAATTTATCTGATCGATCATCATCGCCTACGCATCTCGGTAATGAAACATCTCGTATTCTTATACCATACGCCGATCCGTACCTGTGAAGAGACGAGTTTCGCCGCACTTTTACCGTAAAGCAACCGTAGACTCGCGCGACGAGGAGCTTTTTGATACGACTAGTTGATTAGTGGCGCACGATCCTGCGTTACTCCCGTCTAGATTAGAATCGTAATCTAACGCTAGTATCATGTATAATGCAAGGAAAGAGAAGGGGCTGTACACATGCATTGTCAATACTCGCAAGGTACCCGTGGAATAAACCAATGAGTGTAAATCTTCTCGATGTCAGAAATATCGGATCGCCGCGGCGTCTCACACAACCATGTGTGTTCTCTTTTTTTTTTTCTATCTCTTCGGACGTTTGTAGTCCTCCAAGCGTAAATATTTTCCATACGGGACAATATCGCTTCTGGAAAAAAAAGGGAGAAACGAAGATAAAAAAGATAGAGCCGAGGTGTTGCCCGTTGTAATATTGACGTTCAGAAGCTACGTTCGAGCCACGTGTGTAGAGCGCGGCTTATCTCCGGTGCATTGATCTTCTTCCCGCTCGAATAGAGTAAAATATAAATGACATTCTTCTCCGAAGTTAGTATTTATTTCACGCGAACGCCGGAGAATCATATTTCGTTAATAGAACCTCTCAGGGTTGGATCTTCCGGTTATCACATTCGGGTGTTTTTTGCCTGAAATAAAAATTTTCGGAATCTTCGGCTAGAATCTTTCAGAAGCAATGCCGGGAGGATTAATTTGGATTCGGTGTAACGTAGAAAGTAACTCGAGAGACCTTCGGTGTCCTAATCGTAATGCGGTATTTATTGCCATTTACATCCGTCACATTTTGAGTAATTTGTATTTTTTAAAATACGACTGCACCTTGTCCTTGGGGTAAGGCTTCGTTACCAGACACGTCGCGATGTTCTCGGGTTGTTCTATCCACAACTTGTGCTGAATGTTGTCCTCCTTCAGTTTTGCGCACAGCGTCTGCAGACCGGCTTCATCGGCGGCCTATTATTCATACTCGTGATACTCGTTTATTCAATGGTTCGGAAATAATTCGTTTGGGCATTTTTACAGCGTTCGAAATAATTTACGAAATAACAGATGGGATCTGTTCTTTGTCGCTGTACTGGACTGCATTGAAATTTTCTTTCTCCCTTTTGCCAAGCTACAGATATATTTTATTTTAAGTATCTAGAGGAGGGTTTGGAGAGTTGAACCTCTTCCCCATGAAATTTTTGCCCCACTACACTGAGAGAAAAAAAGATTGCAATTATCATAATTTAACTATAATTTATAGTTATTTTTTGGGACAATTATATATTTATGTAAATATATATTTAATCGTTATTTATAATACGCTACTTAAAAACCATTGATTTTTCTCAACATATTTTTTAGTTATTATTATCACATAAATAGTAAGTGAATAAAGGATATAGATAATTATATTCATTATAATTTCAATTGCATTTACTAAATAAAAATGTTTATTTTATTTACTATTTACATACATGGTGATATTTTATTGTATTAATGTTTGAAATTATCATAATTTATAGTTCAATTTTTCACATATATGGTTATTATTACTAATAATATAGCACTAATAACCATAAAAAAGAGCTCCTAATTATAATTATTTTACCATGCAATTATAATCACAAATACCAAACGCTTTTCTCTCAATGTATATTTTGCCCGTATTTCCTCCTGGAAAAACAAAGTTATAATTTACAAAACCTGATATTTTTCCCATTTAAAATCAAGAATGAAAAAGAGACATTCTAAGCTATAAAATATCCAAAAAAAAAAAACAATTCATTAACACAAAAAATTGCTATTTGTATGATAACAGAAATTGCTAATCTCACCGAAAAAAAATCTTGGATACGCTCACAAGTTTAGCCACAAAGAACAGACCTATATGCGTCAAAGTTATAATTCTCCCTCCGCAAATACATCGCGAAACAAACGTTCCCGCGATTAAACGCGCGCGGATTAACGGCTCGCGAACTTCCCTCGCGAAAGTCAATACTTACTTCGAGGACCACCTTGTGCATGTTGTCTAAATCCGCGAGGTAGGCCTGCGTGTGGGCGTCATTGTAAGAGAGATGGATGACGGCGGTGCACGCGTGACACGCTTGGGCGATCACGGCGCCCAACGGCCATCCCATCGTCCTCGCAAGATCTCCCCGCACCACCACGTACTGAACTATCCCGGACATTCTCTAGCGAGAAAGAGATCGGCTCTCCTTACATACATAATGTAGATTCGCTTCGGGAACGATCTTAAGGCGGAGTTCGGGGGAAAAAAAAACGGAGGAGAGAAAGGAATTGGCCGAGGGATCTCTCTCTCGCGAAAATCGAGCCTAACGCATTCGTTTAATGTTTAATAAATAAATAAAAATCCCCCCCCTTACTAGGTTTCGATTAATTATTAGTAAGTGCCAAAAAGTATATTATCATTCTTACAAATAAGAGGTATAACGCACACGCAGATATATTCGCGTGTTATTTATATATCGGAATTGTGTATCCCGCCCGGGATCCGCGGCGACGACGTGACGGCGCCGCGAAATCGCGCGTAGAAACACATTCGCTATAGCATCGTTCCTTCGATGTCGTGGCATAACGCAAAAGATGTATTATTTATACAGATTGTTGTTATTAAAGACAAATAACGCTGAAATAATTAGCACATACGACACATTATGTTTACGAGACGGCGATTTATTCATACCCGACTCTCTCTTCTCTCTTATTTATTATTTTCACTCTATTATTATTTATTGTTATTATTTTTATTATGCTTCTTTTCATTCTCTAAGGTCTGGTTCCACCAGTATAAGAATAATTTTAATTTTTGGTTCAATTTACACTCTTTACATTCTTTTTTAATTCTTGGAATTAGAAGAAAATAAAGAAAAGCAATTTTATAATCTCGGTTAAATTTACTCTTTATTTTCTTCTAATTCTAAGAATTGAGTGAAAAGAGTGAATTGAACTGAGATTAAAGTTAATCTTATATTTATAGGAAATGGAACCTAAATATTATTTTCTTGTGCAAAATGATCATAGCGGCACTACGGAGAGACGTTTATTTTGTATAAGGAGAAAAAGAAGAAACGAAAGGACATTTGGCAGTTTAAATATTCGTCTACAAATATATATATATATATATATATATATATATATAATTTATGAAATACATATTCAAAATAAATTTAGTGAAGAATAACAAATGAACTTACCCTGAAATGATAACTTTCCGACAACTGTAGTGTCTGTCAAGAGGTTAGCTGTCGTTAATCGTACAATAAATATAATTTTCTTCGAACAATACCAATATAAAGATGTTAACTAATCCAAAAGTACGTGAATTAAACTGAAATCTGATGCAATCCGGCTGTAATTGAGTAAATTCGGAGTAAAAGTTGCGAGATGCTCCAATACGTGTCTGTACTGTCATCTACTCGGTAAGTATGTAAATATCAGTGCTGCTAACTTCAGGAAATTCGTTCTCCTTTAGTTTCTAGGGTACAGTCTAGGCGCTACAGATGCTTCAAAGCTTTTGACCAATCGGAAAAAAAAATTTTACTAATTGACCAATCAAAAAATGCTTCATCGTAGAATGAAATGGACCATAATCTATGAAACCAGTGCTGTTTCTGCATTTCATACAAGTGAAAGAAGATTGATCTGGGGTTTTTCCCCAGAATAAAATTGTCCAGATTTCTATATTCTTTTCGAAATAATAGAACTCTTATTGAGATTGCGGCCTAATGGCCGCAGCACAAACTCTTGCATAAAGTCCATTCTACATTAAGCTGGTTCTACATTAGTCGCATCGCAGCATCGCAAGCGTTCCTGTCCAATAAATATCAAGCTAGTTCGACTCTGATTGGACCGCAACGCTTGCGACACACTTGCGATGTTGCGCTGCGATTAATGTAGAACCAGCTTAAAGGTATAAGCGGGGAGCACAGATTCTTGCATAACGCATAACACATGAGGCATAAGAAATTAAACCAATCAGAGTCCTTTATTTCATAGAAAGGAAGGAAATGAAGGACTTCGATTGGCACATTTTTTTATGCATTACGTGTTATGCGTTATGCAAGAGTTTGTGCTCCCCGCTTAAGATTAACTTGCATAGCCGCATAAACGTATGCATAAAGAAAATTATCCAATCACATTTTATGTACGACTTTAAAAGAGAACTGCAATTGGATAATTTTCTTTATGCATATGTTTATGCGGCTATGCAAGTTGCGTGGATATACCCTAATGGCCGCAGCACACACTCTTGCATAACGCATAATACATAGTGCATAATGGAATCAACCAATCGAAATTCTTCTTTTCCATAGAATGGGAGGAAAGAAAAGATTCTGATTAGTTGATTCGCTTATGTACTATGCGTTATGCGTTATGCAAAAGCTTGTGTCTGAACTCTTAAGCCTATCGCACATGAAATGCATAACAGAGCATAAGCATAACATAAGACTGCTGGACCAATGAGCATCTAGCATAATGTCGCCATATTGATTTACATAAGATGCTCATTGGTTTAGCGGCCTTATGTTATGCTTATGCTCTGTTATGCATTTCATGTGTGAGAGCCCTTAACGTTCGAGTGCACAAAGTGCAAATAGAACGATTCCTTTGTTCCCACGTTCACATGGTACGATGTACGATAGCCGACCGCTAGATGTCGCGATAATTGCCAACGCTGCTCGATTTCTTTGTGTGTATATATATATATGCAGCGGTCGATATCAAAAGGTTCTCAGACTTCATTTAGAGACCGGTCGCCGGCGAATTCCTGTTCTCTCCTCGTCATTCTTTCGTCTTTGGCGGTTCGCACTGTTCGCAGTCTTCTTTGAGGAAGCTCTTTCAAGGTAATCACCATTACTCCAAATTTTCTAAATCGTTTGTTCGCCATTCGTCACACAATTTCTCAATGGAATTGACGTTTTGTTCAACAAAATCGGGACAAGCTAATGACATGAACGACGCCGGATAATCGTTCTAGTTATAGCTGCCCTTTTTTCTCGGAAAGTAACGGTCGAAATTCGACCGTGATAAAACTGCTCGCGCTTTTGTGATCGAAACACACGAGAGGGTCCCGAAAACGAATTATATAATTCGGAAGTTCCTACCTTCGACGCATAATATCGTTTCGTACTTCTGTTTCGCGTGAATTGCGCTCTATTTCGTAACATCGAAGGTCAGTCGAGGGAGAGAGAAAAAGCGATATGGAGAGGATTCGAGATCGCCACTATTTATTCGGCACCGTCACAGTTTGGCAAGTCACGCTTTGCGAATATTTCTCATGATCCGTCAGAACGAGTCGAGTTCGTGGAGACTTACGAAATAGCGAATTTACTTGCATTATACTAGATTAGTGCATACCGAGACCTGCTATATTATGAAGTCAACAAAATTAATATGTAGAAACGTATAAATATTTTAATTAAATACTCAATAATGATAATATTATTTAAGAATATACACGTATTATTTCAACAGTAAATTAATTTTATAGATATATTTTATAATATATTCGTATTATTTCATTCAAAGTTATATCACTGCATTTAAATACTTAATATAAATAATAGCCCTTTAATGTGTGCTGATTTAGGGCCGGTTGTTCCACCTTTCGGTAAATTTTACCTGTTGGGTATAAGTAGCAAGATTACCCAATCACATGCGTGGATTACCAGATTTATCTCACAGGTAAAATTTACCAAAAGGTGGAACAATCGGCCCTTACTATAGTGTAAGGGGCTCCTATAATAAAAGGAACAGAAAACAAAGAATAAGAATTGCAACCTATCAGAAATCATGTATTGTGGAATACACACTGGTATTCCACAATACATGATTTCTGATAGGTTGCAATTCTTATTCTCTGTTCCTTGTTTCTTTTATTGTGTAGAGCCCCTTAGGCTCTGCGCATAATGGAGGAAATATTAGGAACAGGAATAGGTATTAAGATTTTAACCTATCAGATATTAGTTACATCGGAATACACGGTTTCTGATAGGTTGAAATCTTAATATCTATTCCTGTTCCTAATATTCCCTCCATTGTGTGCAAGGCCTAACTCGCACTGTACTAAATCATTCACTGTTCGAGTGACCGAATTCACTAACAATGAAGTCCATGACACAAAAACGTAAAGGTCTAAGCACAAAGAGATCTATTACCGACGAGTCACGTGAGTTGTAGGTCGACACACGATAGGTTTCTTTTTTCTATAGCTGAACTAGTATACATTTTTGACCTAGATAAGATAGGTATATATTTGATATTTGACGAAACCAAGAAAAAAGTTCTAATCTAGTCTAGTATAGGAATAAAAAAAACAGATCAGTTCTTGAAACGAGGTGAAAATTACGAAAGTGGTCGAATTTACTAGAATATTTATAACTTTATTGATTAACACCTAGTGAGTTTGCTCATTTTTGTAATTTTCACTTCGTCTAAAGAACCGTAATAAGCCCCTGATGTTTTAACGTAACTATATATGTATGCCAAAATTGTGTGTCGACCTACGATTACAATTAACGTTCCACAACTCGGTTACAACCATCTTGTGCTTAAGCCCTAAGGCAATAGAATCCACTGTTACCAAGTCTGTTCGAAAGTTATCCCTTATATTGTGATCTAGATTGCGATTTTTTTTTAATATTTTAACTATAATTTTTTGTATTTTCCTCTCCGAAAGTCATCCAGAAATTCTCCTAAACTTTTTGTATCTCCAAAAAATCTCCCGGTAAAAAAAATCTCAAAATCTAATAGAAATTCTGCTAAATTAACAACGCTTAATAAGATTTAAACGGTAAGCGAATTGAGACCAATCACGAGAAAACGCAAAGTTTTTACCTTTTGTCTTTTGTGATTGGCCGATTCGTTTACTGCTTATGCTTTATTATGTGCCTTATGTTTTTTGTGTTTCTGGCTTAAGGCTGTACGCACAGTGGAAGAAAATTAAGAAAACAGGAAAAAATATTAAATATTAGAAATAGGAAAATTGGAGCTTAGAAATTCAACGCAACACACAATACAATTAAGATAAATATTTAATATTAAATATTAGAGAAATAAATTAAAATAAATATCTAATATTATAGAGAAATAAATTAGGAATAAAAATTTAACGTGACGCACAATAGAAATAAATAAAATATCATCCTCTCCTGGCCCGAAATGTGTTCTTTTAATAAACTGTTTCCTTATCTTAAATATAATTGCTCTTTGATTCTTTTAACGTGATCAATCAATTTTTGTATATTGCGACATAATCATGTTTCTCGGAAATGCTTGCGTAAACGCAGCGAAAAGAAAACGACATCGATAGAGAATTTATGACATATTTTTTTTAATGGATTTCAACGTTCTGTCGTAACGCGAATTAACGCAATTCGCCGGCTTACGTAGTTATGCAGAGCGATAGCAGTTGCATCCGCCGACATACATCACGTATGGATTTATGCGCGATAATCTTCATTAACCAACGTCAAGCGAATTTCCGAACAATTACTGAACAGATTAGCCGTATTATCCCGTGGGAATTCCTTTGAGAATACCTTGTCATCGAAAACGAACACAATCGGTATCTAACGAGATTCTAACGGACATAACATTGTAAACGTGAAGATAACAAATCGAGTTTTGGTATTAAATATCATTAA